ATCACTTAATAGACCATATCAATCCATTAACAAAACTAGTACGTTTCTTATCTTCTGTATCTACCTCATCTGGAGTAAAAAGTGATAAGCGTGTAAACTGTTGCTCATACTCTGCTACTGACATATTCCCCTGTTCTAAGTTAAGGAACTCCGTCTTCATAGCTGTCCTAATCGCATATAGAAAGTACTTCTCATCGAAGTGAGTACTGAACTGATCATCAATGAAGTCTTTTCCTCTATGGAAGTAACTGACTCCTACCATTGGAGTGCATCCCTAACAAGCTTAAAGGTGGCAAACATCTACTTCTGAACCTCTGTGCACTGAACCAAGCAAAGGTGTCGCTCGATATCCTTCTTCTACTGGTGAGCTACTTTTGCATCGATGGAGCCTGAGAACTCAGGTGGGCTCCCCTTTGTGAAAGAACTCTTAGCCTTCTCCCAAGGATCTGTCCGAACCACTGGTACTGGTATAGGTGCCTACTGAACCTGTGGCTGATTCCGAAGTGCAGTTGCTACACCTGCTTCTATAGCCCGAGTAATGAGGTCATTTATATGAGGAAGATACACTAGATCCCTGCCCTGATTGTAGCCCTGATCCTGAAACTTCTGAGTTTGTTATACTTCCTCATGCTCGATGTGTAACTGATCATCCTCCTCTGGAAACTTAGGCAGTTGTTGGTCTTCCGCAACTCACTGACATTGTAGGAGATATCGCTGCCTATGTGTCACTCTCCTTTGCTGCCTGTTTCCTTGCATGTCTCTCATCCTCTTCTAACGTTAACCATTCTGTTAACACAAAACGATAGACATTAGAATGATTATAACGGACAGTAAAGGAATACAATGAATCCTAAACTGAAGCTTTAAATAAAAGAGTACACAACGCGAAATTCACACAATGAAAGATACCATAGGGACACTTGAACCTAGAGTGCTCTGATACCAACTATGATACCTCCTAATTTCGGAACACAGGTTGATCAAATCTGCGCACAAAATCAGAGAATATCAAAACAATTAAAATATTTAAACATGCACAAATTACAAAATGAAATAAAGAATAAAATAATGCTCTGAAGAAAACTAATAAATAGTAAATCCACTAATAACTCTCCAATGGTTATGTGATCAACTTTCGGATCATCACTGACGCACCGGGTTGCAAAACTTGGGCCGTCACAGGTTACAACTCAGGAATCCCGTAACTCAAGAACCCCTTAACCAAAAGTCATTATTCAGAATTTCAGAAATAATTACTAATGTCAAATAAAGTAATAATATCCTACTTTGAAATAAATCGAAAAAATAAACAAGTCCTCTAGCTGCGGATCTTCAATCTTGAGACTTGGACCTCTAGTAACCTGAAAGATAAAAATAAAATGGTTTAAACCCACGAGCAAGTTCTCCCTACCAAGTCTCTAAAAACCAATAAACAAATCATTTATACCAAAACTAACCCTAATAAAGTTTTAATTTTAATATCTACGATGACACACACACACACACACACACACACACACACACACACATATATATAAATACTTATATATAATACAATACTCCTATCCATTAATAGGTTCATTAATTTGTCAAAACCATTAACCAATGATTAATTAATAATCATACATAAACCAATCCACTAATATATTTTTCTTTTAAAAAGAAACTCCTCTAACCTTAATTCCATCATAAACAGAAATTTAATCATTTAAGCAATAAATTACAATCAAAGAAATAATACATTAAATTCAAATCCCAACAATGATTTTGATTATTTAAATCACATAGCCACGATATATGCCTTGGCAATTCATCCATGCCTTTACCATTATTATTTTATTAATATTATAAAATAATATAACTACCCTTTTTAAATAATAAATTATTCTAGTATACGAATATCTATAAACTCCAAATTATATACACAATAACCCTATATGCAATTTAAACATATAATGCACATAGCCATTAACTTTTGCTTTGGCAAATCAACCATGTCATTACAAATCTATTTATTTATACCTTGGCAATTCAACCATGAGTCCTTAAGTATAGATATTTATACTTTTAAATTAGCAATTCATCCATGTTTCCTATGTATATATTTTATTTATACAAATATTTAGGCAATATATTTATACATTTGGCAACTCATCCATGCCTACAATTCAACCATGTATCAAACCTTAAAATTAATTTAACAATAAAACAAATCATACATACGCATTCCATGCATATTATATGCATATCATTAATTTAATAACTAGCCTATTATGATTTAATCAACCATACTACGATATCAAATAACAGTAATAAGATTAATACTCTTAAATGATATATATACATATATAAGTATGTATAATATATGTATATGTATAATAACATCTATAATAATAATCCTTGATTATTTAAATTATATATATATATATATATATATATATATATATATATATATATATTTGCACACACACCTCATTCAATGGCAAAATATTAATTAATTACCTTGTGCAAATAAATGCAACTAAATAACTTAGTAACACTCTACGACTCTCAAAACCGTAAAAATATCTCCTCTAGTGGTTGCCTTCAACACTGTTAAGCTTAAAATCAGTTCTGGGATGTCATCGGACCCCACAAGAACTTTTCGGGACCCAAACACTTCTTCACGTGCCACCAGATGCTCATACTCTTGCTGCACTTATCTCCACGCACCACCGGTCACTGGCTGCTGTCCTCACGCGCCTACACGCGTTGCACACGCTCCTGATTTGGTCCTCTGCGTGTGCTGGCCTCTCCTCATTGGTTGCCCTTCCTTGTCTTGGTGAGCTCGTCCACACTGAATCTCCATTCACCCTTTAGATTGCATCCAGTGGTCAAATCTTGCAGGCGCACCATTTATTCATGGACCGCGCCGCATCAGATCTTCTCGCTGTTGACTGGACCTTACCAATGGTCCAGACCTGTTATGCACCCAAATTCTATTCGCCGCACCACACCACAATCACTTCTAATCATCAGGACCATTTAATGGTCCTGATTTAAGCCCACCAAGGCGCTGTGCACCTTGCCATACTGAATCCCAGCCCCTTTGTGGATGCGCCGATCCCCATGATGCTCTAGTTAATTAAATTCAACCTAAAATAATCATAAAACAATTCCTAAAAATCCAGAAAAATATAAAATAAATCCATAAAATTTCAGTAAACTTTTAGAAATTCTACAAACCCTAATTACCCTTCTTGGGTTATAAATCAAGCCTAATAGTTGATTTTAATCCATTTATAATAATTAATCATGCTAAACATAATTAAATCAACATTAAAAAAATTACAAAAAATAAAATTTAATTAATATAACCTTACATACAAAACTAAATTATCATAACAATACATATATATATTCACATGTTTAAATTTATAATTTTGCGAAGAATAAAATTGTTCATCTAATCCGATTAATAAATTATTTTTAATCAACAAAATAAAAAATATAATTTTGATACTCAAGGTGATAGGTTTATGAATTTTAAGAGGAGAAGTAGAGAAGAACTCGCCTGCCTCTTCTAAATCCGGCCTCCTCTTTCTCTAATTCGGCCTCCTCTTTGTCAGCTCTTCTTCTTCTCTCTCTATCACTCTTATTTTTCTAACGTGGAAAACTTTTAACCTTAAAGCCTTATGTGTATATTTATACACATTAAAATTCAAATCTTATTCCTATTATGACTACCAAATAAAATAATAAAAATAATAATCTTCAAATAATAAACATATATACACATATATATTATATAATATATATATATATATATATTCCTTCCATAAATAATCATTAGTTAAATAAATTATATATACATATATATATATATCAATATATATATATATATCCTTATATAATAATTATTAATTAACTGAATTTATATACATATAATAAAGCAAAGATAATTATTTAAATATCTTTTATATACATGGGCCTTTATTAGTTAACCCAACAAGGCTTCATTCAAGCCCAAGACGACATCCCTTGATCCCAATTCTCTCAAGTCCAAACCAATTAATTTAAATAAATAAAATAATTAAATTAAACATATTAAATAAATAATTCACACAAACTTAAATACAATCAAATCAAATAAACAATTCACTCATAGCATTCCACAAATCAAACATCATATATCACTTCAACAAATATAATTACTAAATATAATTTAATTAAAATAAGACAATTAATTTAAGTACTTAATTAAATAAAACAAATTATTTAAAAAAATAAAATAAAAGCAATTAATCACAATTAAATCAAACAAATCATTTAAAAATAAACTAAAAGTAATTAATCCCAATTTGTTGCCTGTAGAATTCGTCTTTTGCAGCTTTCGACAGACATCAATGGTGTGACCTTGCCAGCCGCAATAATCACATCTGAGGTGTGCTCGACATGTCTCTGAAGTGTGCCCAATTTTCTCACAAGTTCCACATTTCAGATGAGGATTTTTGGGTGCGAAAGTCCTCTCAAAGTTTCGTGAGTTGTTTTTCACAGCAAAAGCTGAAGCTTTAGCCAGTGGTGTGCCTCCCTTCGATATCCGTTGCTGCTTTTCATCCTGGTGGATGAGGGAATAAGTTTTATCGACGGTAGGAAGTGGATCCATGAGCAGAATCTACCCTCGAACAGTAGCGTAGACTTCATAGAGTCCCATGAGGAATTTCATGGTCTTTTGATTCTATTGAAGCTGGAAATTTTCTTTCATAATGCCACATGTGCTTGTTCGAATACAACACAATGCATCACATTCGTCTCAAAGGCCTTTAAGTTTGGTGTAATAAGCCCTAAAGTCATGTTGTCCTGGACTCCTGCGTACAATCATGAGTGGCTTCTTTAACACGAAAAAAGATGAACACTGTTAGTGTATGAAAAACGATCTTTTAAATCGAACCAGATTTCATGAGCACTTTCATTGTATATTATGCTTGCTCCAATATCCTGCGAGATTGAATTAAACAGCCATGCTTTTACAAGATTATTGCAGTGCCTCCACTGTTGGAGTTCTATGGTGGAAGTCTCCAGTGGCTGTTGATGGTGCCATTGACGAAGCCTTCTTTGTTCTTGATGTTGAGAGCCATGAGCATGGCACGGCTCCAAGTGCTGTAATTTTCTACATTCAGCAGTAGGGGCAGAGGCAGAAATTTGGTTGGGGGATAGGCATGTTAACAATGATAAATTAATTTTTTTCAACCAGGCTGAAAATGTAATAGTTAATTTTTTTCAACCAGGCTGAAAATGTAATAGCGTAATAACAATGTATTAGAATAAGTGAATAAAAAATGAATAAAAGAGAGAAAAGAAAGAGAAGGTTATTACACATAAATTATGCATGCATAAATTTGTTTCACTATATTTGTTAATTAATAATATGAAAATATATTTACAATACAATAAGTAATTTAGATCCTAAATTAGAGCATATATTACATTCCTATATAAATGGAAACAAATCAGGAAGCAATCCCAAATTTTGTGCACTTGTTGACTTTACATTTCTTTACAAGAATTCAACTAAACCCATATATAAAATCTGTATGTTTACAAAGATTGCACATCATATATTCATCTTTGTCCTATCAAATTAGAGTATAAAACTCACACTCAAACTTAATAGTACAAAAATAGTACTTGTCTCAAAATTTTAATTAAACTCTTTCCCAATTCATGTTTATGAGTGTATGCAAAATAAATTAATTAAGCTTTGGAGTTGTTGTACTATTTATATTAGTATAGAGAGAAGGTGCATGTATTTAACTTAACTTTAATTAATTAAGTGATGTCACGTTAAATATTAATGACTTAGTGGATGGAATTACATCAACATGTTTAAAACCTTGAAGACTTGAAGTTAGACTAGTAAAGTCAACACTTAAAATCTTTGTAAATATAGAATGAATGATATGAAATTAATTTGAATGATAATTCTAACATCTTCATAGTTATAAATTAGACTTTGCTATATAAGAATTTCATAATCCCAAAATCAATTAGTTGGTAACTATTGAGACTATGCCTTCAATTCCATTCTTCATCTTCCTAGTCGCAGTATTCTTGCTCAACCCAAAATGCATATTAGAGTGCCGAGCCGGGGCGATCAGGCTTGAACGACCAATGGAACGAGAATTGGAGGGTACCAGAAAGCACTTTGTTCTAGTTCATGGGTCTAACCTTGGAGCATGGTCCTGGTACAAGCTTATCACCCTACTCAAATCCGCCGGTCACAACGTCACAGCCTTGGACCTTGCTGCAAACGGGAGGGACCCGAGGCGGCTTGATGAGGTCGCCTCCTTTTTTGAGTATACGCAACCATTGACCGACTTCATGGCCTCCCTGCCTAACGGGGAGAAGGTGGTCCTAATTGGTCACAGTTACGGTGGCTATTCCATTTCTCTAGCCATGGAGCGCTTCCCCGAAAAGATCCCCGTTGCAGTTTTCCTCACTGCCTTGATGCCGAATTATAAGGATCCACCCATTAACCTCCAAGAAGCAGTAAGAAAATCTCTATTAGCTTAAAATATCTGAACATAATTGTATCATATATGAAATTGAATGCATTTTCTTGAAAATTATATCGAAAAATTTAAGGGTATGCTTGGTTTGTAGATTTTAGACAACTATGACTTGAAAATCTGTATTTTCATAATTGAGCTTTTAGAATTTATGAAAAGATGCCTTTTTTACAAACAGAGTTTTTGTATAATTTTTTGGTTTTCAGTTCTGTGAAATTAGAAAACTGTTTTAAGAGTTACAACACCCTATATTTTGTTAATTTTTCATTTTAAAGTCAATATTTTGTTTAGGAAAGTTTAAGCTATAAATTAGTTTGATTTACTGGAGTTTGTCTATAAATTTGTCGGTAATGAGTTGAGACTTATGAGAGCAAGAGATGCTCATGAGGGAGAGTATACATGCATGATTCTATGTGTCGTACAGTGTTAAGTTCGAATTTAGGACTTGCTAGATTTGTCACTTAAAAAATTGTTCTCCACTTTTTTCTTTAACGAGTTTTTCAAAAAATAATTGTCAAAAAATTATCAACCAAAACGGTTTCTTTTTTCGACTTTCAATTATTGAAGAAAAGAAAATTATTTTCAAAAAACTAAACAAAATGCATACTTATTTTACGAAATTATAGCAGATTAGTTGTTAAACCATGTCAAACCTTATATCTATTTTGTTTATTATTGGATCTCTATGTATATGTTTACACATTTCTTCCTTTTTTCATGGCTTTTGTGCTCGAGAGCAGTTTTTCAACGCGACCTCGTCAAACAATGTACTGTTTTGGTATTTGTAACTTATTTTATAAAATTTATAGCAGATTAGTTGTTAAACCATGTCAATTCTTACATCTATTTTGTTTATTATTGAATCTTTGCACGTTTCTTTTTCTTCTTTTTTTTTAATGGCTTTTTGTCTTTGAGAGCAGTATTTCAACGCGACCTCGTCAGACTCTCTCTTAGATTCCACAATTGTATATGATTCGAATCATCAGCCCGTATCCGTACTCTTTGGTCCAAAATACATTGTAGCTAAGGTTTATAATGACTCCCCAACAGCGGTGAGGTTTGATCTGATCTCAAGAAATTTCATGCAAATAAATCCCTAAAAACAGCTAGCTCTTGTTTTTCTTGATGCATGTTCATGTATCTTTTGCATGCAGGACCAGGAATTAGCTATAACATTGGTGAGGCCAACTGGGTTTTACTTGAATGACTTAAAAAAGTCTCTACTGACACAGAATAAATACGGGTCGGTCACTCGTGTTTTTATAATAAGCGGAGATGATCAAGTCGTGCCAGTGGATTTCCAGAAATATATGATTAAGAATAATCCTCCTAAAGAAGTGATGTCCATAGCTGGATCTGATCACATGGTCATGACTTCGAAACCAGTAGAGCTTTACCACACTTTGCAGCAGATTGCTGATAAATATGATTGAATGTGTGTTACTGTGTTAATCCTTTACTAATTATACCTGAAGAATAGGAAATGTGTCATGTAATTTTATGAGTTCAACATCATTAAATCGCATACTTGTTGCAGAAATATATATAATGGGTAATATTGAATGTTCGATTTGAGAGATACTTGCCTACTGGATGATGAGTACGAAGTTCATACTTAGTAGCACAAAAAATAATATGATAAGTATTTTTTTATTGTAAAATAATAAAAAATAAAAGATTTAAGCGGCTATTGAGATTAAGCCAAACAGTATTCAAATCAAATCGTAATCCAATTCTTTGTTCCTCTTTTTCTCTCGTGCAGCCCTTATAAGGAATCACAACTTTCGATATCTTGTTCAAATCAAATCCATGGAACGAATTGGTTAAGATATTTGATTGTGGTGAGATTTGAAAGTTCTGTTGTAAACCTTGTGAAATATAAATTTGTAATGTGGCAAATTTTGTTGTCAAAACGAGTCCGATTGAATTATAAAGTTTTTGTTTGATTTGTCATGACTCAAGATCGGAAGCGGAATTGAAGAAGTGATCGTATTCATATCCATGATAATGAGAACATATTAGGAAGGTAAGTGAGTGTGTGAGAACACTTGCATGATTTCAAATTTAGGGTTTTGGAATTGTTTTGCCTAACTTGAACCGATTCAACTTTCTCTGAACCGGTTCAACTTTCAAAAGTGTTTTTCAAATGTTTACTTCTAGCCAACTTGAACCATTTCAACTTTCTCTAAACCGGTTCAACTTTCAAAAGTATTTTTCAAATGATCATTTCTGGCCAACTTGAACCGGTTCAACTTCTACAAACCTTTTTGGTAACTCTGTTTCCTGGTTTGTTTTGGCTTCCTATTTTAGATAAACCTCTTTTATAATGATCATGCGCGAAATTGACTTATTTCAAAGTATTTTTAGGTCTTCCAAAATTCTATATAATCTCACTAACATTATTCAAATAAACAAAAGAGAATATTAATTTATTTATTTGTTGAGCAATGCTACAATTGCCAGCATTGCCACAAGGATTCAGGGAGGAGACAATGTGAAGTTCACCATTCCACATCTATGTTAGTTGGTGTGTCAATTATATAAATTCTTATCTATTTTTTATTTTTAACCAATGCTTAGAATCGATCTCCTAATTCCACCATTGCTTTTTAAATTACTTTGTCAACACTTTTATTTTTTTAATTAAGAGGTAAAGCTTGTTTATAGAAAAGAGAATAATGTACATACGCATCCAGCAGAGTACATCCAACGATCCTAAAAAACAAATGCTTATATGCATAATACCTATGTCTATTAGTCATAAATGGAATGTATACCGGTATCAGCTGCAAGCATCCAATGATCCTTGTCAACACTTGATTACTCTTTTGAAAATTCAAACACAAATGTTTATATGCATAATACCTATGTCGATTAGTAGAAAAAATAAATCTATTAAAATAGTGTTTATACGCCTATAATTGCTTTTTGAAGGTAATTAAAGTCTACAAGCAGAAGATAAATGATAACACCACATCTAGAATTCAACTAACCCGTATATAAAATCTATACGTTTGCGAAGGATGCACGTTACTTTATGAAGTTATATATTCCTCTATGTCCAATCAAATTAGAGTATAAAACTCACACTCAACCTCAATAATAGTCTAAAACTAGTACTTGTCTCAAAATTTTAATTAAACACTTTTCCAATTCATGTTTATGAGAGTATATGCAAATATTAATTAAGCTTTGTAGGAGTAGTACTATTTATGTTAGTGTAGAGGGAAGGTGCATGTATTTAACTTAACATTAATTAATTAAGTGATGTACGTATATATATGTCACTTTAAGTACTACTGCTTTTGTCCCAAATTATATGTGCATGTTTAGAAATTAGAGTTTTTGAGGAGACATGCTATTAATGCATTGCCCCTTTTTAAAATTACCAAGTTGTCCATTTTAGTTTAGATATGCATAGTTACCAAGTTTGAATTTTTAAAAAAATTAAAAGGACAAAGATGGAAGGATAATTTTTATTTACTTTGACTTTTCAAAGTGGACAACTAAATTGAGACATTTAAATATGAGATAGTGGACTACTAATACGGAACAGAAATAGTATTAACGAAGTAGTGGCCGGAATTACATCATGTTTAAAACCTTGAAGCCAACACTTTAAAATCTTTGTAAATATAGAATGAATGATATGAAATTAATTTGAGACATAACCCTAACATCTACATGCTTATAAATTAGACTTTGTTATACAAGAATTTCATAATCGCAGCAACCCAAAATCATTTAGTTGGCAACTATTGAGACTATGCCTTCAATTCCATTCTTTGTCTTCCTAGTCCAAGTATTTTTGCTCAACCCTAAATGCATTTTCGAGTGCTGTGTCAGGGCGATCAGGCCGAAACGACCAATAAATGAGAATTGTAGGGTACTAGCTAGAAAGCACTTTGTTCTAGTTCATGGGTCAACCTTGGAGCATGGTCCTGGTACAAGCTTAATTATCACCCTACTCAAATCCGCAGGTCATAACATCATAGCCTTGGTATCAACCATTGATGGACTTCGTGGCTTGAACTGTTGGGTAGTGTTGCATACTTACCTATTTATACTCAATCATTTTTGTGAGATATTAATTTATTTTTTGGCAATTATCGTAGACATAACCAGTCCAAGTTAAGTTGTAATCTAGATTACTTGTTCTACAAGTCATCAAGTTCAACAGGGACTATAGAACTGGGAAGGAGTTCAAACTTACCATACTTGAAGAGTTTGTGAAGAAAAGGGTAAGAACACTACTTTAAGAAGGAATATAAACAAGATTGGACATTTTACACTTACCATTTTGATCTAAAATTCACGTAGAATGAAACAAGGCTGAAAGAATCGAAATTCAGGTCTGCCAACCTTGAACCAGTTAAGCTTCCTTGAACCAGTTCAAAATGCTAATGTTTGAGTCATTGTCAAACTTGAACCGGTTCAGCTTCCTTGAACTGGTTCAAGATGTCCTGATTGCTCTACAATTGCAGTTTTCTTTTTCTGAATTGTTTCCCAATTGGTCTAGATTTGTACCAAATCCTATGCACGAAATTTACCTTATTTTTAGAGGGATTAGGTCATTCTATACTCTATATAAACCATGTCATATACATTGGTTTAGATACGGCTTTTACATTATTATTCAGATATTATTCAAAGCCTTAGGAAAAGTATTTTTATAGAAAATCAGAGTTGATTTTTCTAATATTGTTCTAGAACACATACATATAAACACATAGTGAGTTTAGAGTTGTGGTGTTCAAATCCTGATCGTGATCATACAGTTGCATCTATAACGATCAGACAAAAGCAGATCTTCTTCTACATCATTCAAACGATTGAAGAACAGAAGTAAACGCAGTCATACTTTGAAAGGGTTGGAGCATTCGCAGAGTGATGTCTGATCTACCTGCTACTCTTCTACAAATATCAAGTGTAAGTCTGAGGTCTAGTTGCTGTTGGATGGGGAGTCACAAAGCCAGAAGATCGTCAGCGGTTGGTGTGGTGTAGAACGATAGGGTGTGAGCCAGAGTCAAAGTTTGGTATACTTTGTTTCAAGTATAGTAGATTGATTTACTTTGGACTGCACAAGTCCATGAGGTTTTCCTATCACAGTTGATGTATTTTATCAGCTGGGGTTTCCTCGTTAAAATCCTGGTGTCATCTCTAACTTTACTTTGCTTTATTTTATTTGCATGTGATTAATTATTTAAATGCTAAAATGAGTAAAGGTGATAACGACACAGATCTGTTTTTATAAAATCTAAAACTTTCCTGAATACATTCCGCTACGTACAACTCACAATTTTTCCATTTGGATTTGATGTGGGAAAAATGACTCTTGTTACATTCTCCCTCACCTAAACTCGCAACACACTCATTGCGGCTCGGGCTACCCTGCCTACTCAGGTTGGCTCACCCGAACGCCTTCCAGGCCGGGCGCTTGGTGTGATACTAGATCAAGGACTGGGTTTGGCTCTAATTCCAACTATAATAGGTTGGTGCTTGCCCATTTACCCAAAAGTTCAAACGGTTGGGCAGTGCTGTATACCCACCCATTTATATCCAATCAATTTCTCATCCGGATCTTATGCGGAACAAATGACCCTTGTTACACTATTTCATTTCTCTAGCCATGGAGAGCTTTTCCTAAAAGATGTCCATTGCAGTATTTCTCACTGCCTTGATGCCGAATTATACATACCCACCCATTACCCTCCAAGTAGCATTAAGAAAATCTCTATTAGCTTAAAATTTTTTAGCATAATTGTATCATGAAAATGTATGCATTTTATTGAGAATTATATCTCAAAATTTAAGTTTTGTTGGTTTTTCATTTTAAAGTCCTATTTTGTTTAGGGAAATTATGCTATAAATAGTTTGATTCATTAGAGTTCGTCTATAAGTTTGTTCGTAATGAATTGAGATTTATGAAATCAAGAAATGCTTATTAGAGGATATATATGCATGATTCTATTAAACAATATTTAAGACAGGCTAGTAATTGTTATCTATGTGGTGTACATGTTTAGTGGTACATGAAAAGGTCGACCGAGAAGGACTTGAATAACTTACCCAAAAAAAGGAATTGAATATATATGCCAAGTCCAAATTTAGTTTCTAAAGTATGGTTTTGGGTATGCAAAATGATTGACAGTCCGACAGTAAGAGTTGTTAACATGATAATGTTAGCTCCTATTCACATAGAATCAATTGATCACAACTTTGTTGATAAAGAATAAATACGGGTCGGTATCTCAGGTTATTTATAATAAGGGGAGATGATTAAGTTATACCAGTGGATTTTCATAAATATATGATTGAAAATATGACATGTATCCTCTAAGTTAAATATTCTCTAAGTTTTCTCAAGTTGAATTTTTTACATATTGACACATGACATTTAAAATTTATATACTGATGGTGTTAAACCATGTCA